GCCCACTGTGAGCGAACTGTGGCGTCAGCATCAGCAGCGGGGGCAGGAGAGGCACCAGAAGTGAGGTCAAAGAGGGAGAGGCCGTCTGCTCTGTCGCACTGTAAGAAAAGCTGCAGGTCATCTATCCAGACGTCAAAGTCAATGGCCCGACCCTCAGCGTCAAAAGCGAGGACACTAGGGGTAGCCATGACAGCAGTAGACTAGCAGCGCAAACAGTAGGGTGAGGGCAGTGCTGTGAAAGAGGCGCTGCTCTTACCGGACAGGGCGGCTCGGGTGGTTCGGCTGTAGGGCGGCTCGGCGGCTCGGCTGCTGGGCGGCTCGGCGGCTCGGCTGTTGGGCGGCTCGGCGGCTCGGCTTCTGGGCGGCTCGGCTGCTGGGCGGCTCGGCGGCTGGGCGGCTCGGCTGCTGGGCGGCTCGGCTGCTGGGCGGCTCGGCGGGGCCGCTGAGAGGGCGGCGTCCGGGGCCGCTGGGAGGAGGCGGCGGGGCCGCTGGGAGGAGGCGGCGGGGCCGCTGAGAGGAGGCGGCGGGGCCGCAAAGGTAGGTGGCGGGGCCGCTAGTAGGTGGCGGGGCCGCAGGTAGGTGGCGGGGCCGCTGGTAGGTGGCGGGGCCGCAGGTAGGTGGCGGGGCCAGCAGGAAGGTGGCGGGGCCGCAGGTAGGTGGCGGGGCCGCACAGGTAGGTGGCGGGGCCGCACAGGTAGGTGGCGGGGCCGCGGAGGGCGGCGACGAGCCGTAGGGGGCCGTGAGGGGCCGCGGGAGGGGCCGTAAGGGGCGTAAGGGGCCGCGCGAGGGGCCGTAAGGGACGGCGCGAGGGGCCGTAAGGGCGGCGCGACGGGCCGTAAGGGCGGCACGAAGGGCCGTAGGGGCGGCGCGACGAGCCGTGAGAGGGCCGCTAAGGGCGACGCGACGGGGCCGTGAGGGGCCTAGCGAGGGCGCGACGGTAGGGAGAGCACACAGGGCGCGACTCGGGCCGGAGCGAAGCGCGCTCCGGGCAGGAAAAAAAAAAATTCGTGGTGGTGGGCCCTAGGAATCGTTCCCACTAGGAACCTGCTCGATACCATGAGAAGAAACGAGGAATGGAATGACTAAGGGAAAGTTGGGTACAAATGCAAACCCTAGGAAAACTGTACCCCATATGTGCTACCCCACTATAGCCTACAGTAGCTATGTCATATAAATCTGACAGTATTATCACGTTTGGTCACGGGGTTATCACGGACAGTCACAGTACAGTACTTCGCTATCACGCATGATCACAGCGCTATCACGCTTGATCACTCCTCGCCCCGTAGGGTTATCACGTTTGGTCACTCGTTGAAACGCCCGCCAAAAAGTCGAAACTCTCAAATCTACTGTACAGATTCGGGTACTTTTATCTCGCGCGCGTTTTGTCTGTAGTGAAAAACGTGATGTGACTGTCGAAATATACTCGGTCCTTGTTAGGGACCGATGCAGTTTAATGCAGAGTCCGCATTTTGCAGTGAATATACGCGATCAATAGCAGTTTCGATTATATAATCACTCTTCTCTTTGTAATTGATACCTTGACATTTTGTAGTCCCCACTCAAGAATCATATGCCACAGATTGTTGGTGTTTACACTCTAACCATACAAACTTGTATTGTAGCAACTCTGTACTTAGTGACCAAGGAATAAACACTTTTCCATGTTATGTGCACAGAAAAAAAAACAAATTCAACAGATCAATCAGAAAATGGTAAACGGTGAACGGTTCCATGTTGCCATAGTATACAAAATGGTGGAGCATTCAACCAATCTTTAAAACAGTTGAAGGGTACGAGTACATGTGTCGCACAAGCATTTCCTTGCACAACATATCCCCAAACTATTGTCAGCAGTTATTATTAAAAATAAATAAACTGTACTAATTTGTTGCAAAAGTACCAAAGAAAACCATCAATTCTAAGAAACATCATATCTTATCAATCGACTGTGCGCCTGACACTGAACTTGTTTTTAGCTTGTTAGCAATGTAGTCAATGAAGTGAACGCCAATAATAAAACTATTCGGAAGAACGGACATACCGTATGTCGAACTACCACAACACAATGTGTTAGACAGTATCAAACTATTTAGGTTACAGTTATCAATTATTCACATCGGCATAAGCTTATATTACAAGATGCAATTACACTAAACATGTCCATCATAAATGGGTTTGATTAATTCTAAACAGTTAAATTACACATATCAACCAACGCAATTACGTGTCGTATATGCATTTCCCCGCCTGTAACGTTCAATGGTTTTCCATCTAATATAAGTCAATTGTATGGGTTTCCCACCAGCTAAAGCTATTGTCACTGTGCTAAACATAATTACAATGCTCTCACTGTTTAAATCATTCTACCAAAACCCATGTCTTTGGTTTATGGATGAAATGCACACCATAAACTAATTATATAATCGAAACTGCTACTGCATCGGTCCCTAACAAGGACCGAGTATATTTCGACAGTCACATCACGTTTTTCACTACAGACAAAACGCGCGCGAGATAAAAGTACCCGAATCTGTACAGTAGATTTGAGAGTTTCGACCTTTTGGAGGGCGTTTCAACGAGTGACCAAACGTGATAACCCTGCGGGGCGAGGAGTGATCAAGCGTGATAGCGCTGTGATCATGCGTGATAGCGAAGTACTGTACTGTGACTGTCCGTGATAACCCCGTGACCAAACGTGATAATACGGCCATAATTGTGACTGCGCGTATAATTTCCCTGGCGACAACCTCTGTTGTGTGGCGCGAGCCCGTCACTTCAGCCTTGTGTTGGGTGTGTTGGCCAAGTAGGGCCAGTTCAGATTCCTCTTCGACTCCTCGTCCTTCTCGCCTTCATCTTCGACTTGCAGGACGTCGAACCATCGTTTGGAAAACCGATTGTTCTGCCCAAATCGTAGTGATTTAGACGTAGGATCTAAAAATTTCGGCTGGACAGCCCAAATTTATGGGATCACCAACGCCAGGATTCAAGATGAGAAGTTGATGCGGGATGTAAGAGGGTGAAAGAGCCAACATTCACCATCAGAATTACCCAAAGCGAACATCCTTGAGGTCGAACTTTTGCCAAAGTTCGAACTTCTAGAAAGGTTGTACACGGTAGGACACGTTTGAGAGACGTGTCGCCACGGTACAAAGCGGTATTTGGCCCGAACTTTGACAATCTACACCAAAAGGCACGCGCCCTTAGGTTAAGGTGGGTTGAACCGCAAAGAATCCCGGTTATGTTCATAAGATCCCCCGAGTGTGTGTTAGTTTTTCGAATAAAACCCCCGGAAGGACTAACCCGACGGTCTGAAATAGTAGATTATTGTACAGTGCTGCCAAGTCCAATTGCAATGAGAGCTCTCCCAACTGGAATCATAGCATCAGCCTTTGACAGACGTCCTTCCTTCCCGCACGCTGTGTGCACGAACAGTGCCATTTCCTCGCCCACCCTTGGAAGGAGTTATGACACACCCACCCATCCTTCCCGCCCCACGAACCATCAGTCAGCCCCCCGACCCGACAAGTCTCTGTTTTTGGAAGTCCTCATGCGCTGGTTACCCAAATTCGTGCTTCCTCGTGTGTGTGTGTGGTTTGCTCATGTGCGTTTCACGAGGTAGGTGTGTCGCCCTTATGCAAGTTTTTTTGCAAGATCGCAGACCCATGCTACTCCTCGTCATTGCCTCGCATTTCGTTCGTTGCTTTCTTGCGAATGCAAATCAGATCTTGTAACGGACTGCCGCGGTTGGCGGAATGCGGTTACTACTGATAGCTTGGTTAGGATGCGCTCGCCGTACGTATTGACTACTATTACTAGTCCTCGTCGCTCGCGGAGGATCTTAGGAATATATAAAAGCATGTACCAATAGCGGAGTGTTCTCGCGCAAGTACAGGAAAAGAGTGGGCCACGAGCAACGGTGCAGCTGAAAGGGTGGCACACTCCGTTGTGCTATTTGGAATCCGTATCATTTGGGGGTAGAGTCTACTGATAGCTAGCAGACTGCTTAGAATAAGAGTTACTAAGATCCCTGAAAGTAGTTAAGGTAGCAGTACGACTATTAGGGGGCCGACGAGGAGGGCGGTACGACGATTATTAGAATAGAAGCAGCAGGGCGGACGGGCGGTACGAATCGTCGGACGATTATTTGTAGCAGAAGCAAAGCAGTGCTCCCGACGCCGGCGGCAGCGCGGGACTGGAGAACATGCCGCCCTGCTGGCGGAATATAATAAATATGCTTTTTTAATCTGGTGTGGTTCGTTCGCACTGCTTGACACATCTCGTGTCCCGCTCGAGTTCCTGTAATTCGTCGCCCGATAATTAGCAATCGTCGTCCCGTTCGCACACCACTGGTTTGTCGCAGTTACCCTGATCGCACGGCATCGCACAGACACCTCATCCACAGTACTACTACTACTGCCTGCTCAGTCGTCGTCAGTTCGCGTTACAAGGCTGCTAGTAGTTTCCGTGCCGAACTATTTTGAAGCCAGGCCGAACCTATTTAGAGCGGGTTGAGCGTGTTCTGTCCGACGATTAAGTCATACCTCCAAAGATGATTCCGTCGTGTTGTCGCGCGTCGCGTGCCGCACGGCGATTCAGTGGTCTGGCCGCACTCGTCGCATGGGTCGCAGGATGGGTCGCACTGGCCGTGTGGATAGGGCTGTACACGCGGCGAGCCGCCGAGGCTCCGCGACAGACGGCGATCACCAACTGGTGCGCGGAGCGCGTTCGATACCTGCACGCGGAGTTCGATTCGAATGTGAAACAAGTGGAGGTGGGTGTGTGTGTCTGCAACGAAAGCCGCCGAGCAGATGTGATAGTGACAATAGAGGAAGCTCGTTCAATCCAGCAAAACATTCAGCAGTCAAAAGCCGAGAATCCGTGATAGACTGAGAAATTCCGTTGTCCCTTCCTCCTTCCGTTCCTTTGTCCCTTCCTCCAATCAGATTTTGGCGGGTCTGGTCAACCAATTCAACGGTTTCAGCGCGACTCCAGGCAACATGTCGTACTGGGGCTACTCGGGCTGCGTGGATAAGGTCACGTGGGAGGTGCACCGTGCGGTTACCGGTTTCGCCAGGCCGTGGGTTACTTCGCTGTGGGGCGGCATTATCGCGGATAAAGATAGGTGCTGGACACGTGGGTGGGTGGTTGCGTGGGTGTGAGGTAGCATTATGGGCAGGGGAAGAGGCAAGGGCGAGTCGATTCAGCTCTTAGAACGAAGCTTCGTTCTTGCCTATTCTCATTATTCTCATTCAGCTTCGCTGTCTTCTTCTGACTTGTCGACCAATGACTAGGCTTGTGAGCTTGGCATGTATGTGTGTGCGTGCGTGTGTGTGCGTGCATGTGTGTGTGTGTGTGTGTGTGTGTGTGTGTTTGTGTGTGTGTGTGTGTGTGTGGGTGTATGTACGTGTGTGTGTATGTTTGTGTGTGTGTGTGTTTGTGTGTGTGTGTGTGTGTGCACGAGTGCGTGTGTGTGTGTGTGTGTGCACGAGTGCGTGTGTGTGTGTGTGTGTGTGCGCGCATGAGTGCTTGTGTGTGCGTGTGCCCCGGTCTTCCCCTTCAACTCATTTTCTTCCAATCCTCCCCCTCCTTTTCCCACTGCCTTCCCCTTCCGCGCTCCCCCTTCCAGGCCATGGGTAGAGGAGCAGCTGGGCTGTCAGTTCCGCTCGCCCAACGGCTCGTTGGCGCCCAGGAAGCCCTGGTACAGCATTAACTCGCCTTCCCTCTCTCTCCTCTCCGCCCTCCCCCCACTCCCCTTTCCTCCAGGCCATGGGTAGAAGAGCAATTAGGCTGCCAGTTCCGCTCGCCCAACGGCTCGCTCGCCCCGAGGAAGCTCTGGTACAGCATCAACTTCTTCGCCTTCAAGTCTAACTTTCCCCATCCTCCGCCTCTGCTCCCCCGCTCTCTCCCCCCACTTTCTTCGGCCCCCCTTCCCCACCTCACACCCCCTTGCAGGCCATGGGTGGAACAGCAATTAGACTGCCAGTTCCGTTCCCCCAACGGTTCTATCGCCCCCCCCAGCCCCTGGTACAGCATCAACTTCTTCCCCTTCAAGTCCATATTCGGGCTGCGCGCGTGCCTGGACTTTGGCGCCGCCTTCCCCGCGCAGATGGCGCAGATGCTCGCCACAGGCCGCGCCGTCAGCTCCCCCGCTGTCCTCGCGCCCAACGGACGCCTGGGATTTCGTGAGTTGGGAGTTGGGGCTGAGCGGGGATGAAATGGGCCCGAGATGGGGCTGGTGGTATGAGGCAGGCTGTGGGTTTCTGTGTGAGCTCTCTGCTCCATATTCGGCCTGCGCCTCGACTTTGGCGCGAGCAGATGGCGCAGATGCTCACCACAGGCCGCGCCGTCAGCTCCCCTGCTGTGCTTGCACCCAACGGACGGCTCGGATTCTGTAAGTGGAGAGTAGCGGCTGAAAGGGGATGAAATGGGATAGAGCGGCTGTATCGGGCAGACAGACAGGCCGCGCCGTCAGTTCCCCCGCTGTCCTCGCGCCCAACGGACGCCTGGGATTCTGTAAGTGGAGAGTAGGGGCTGACTTGGGGGATGAGATGGGTATGAGATGGGGGATGAGTAGGCACTGAGTTGGTGCTGAGATGGGGATTGGTTGCCGATTGGTTGGGGATGAGTTGGGGTTGAGATGAGACAGGCTGTGGGGGCTGTGTGGATTCTCCGCTCGTTTTCGGGTTGCAAGCGTGCTTGGATTATTCCCAAGGCGCGATTGCTATATTATTTTCTCACCCATGGGTGCTCCTTCCCATCCATCCCTCCACCAGTGTACGCATTTCCGATGTTCCGAAGGCCAATATCGGAGGGGGCGGGCAGGGAGGAGGTGGAGGCGAGTGTGGCGGGGTTCATCGGGTGCGGGCTGGACGTGGGGCTGCTTGTGTCGCACGCCCTAGTAGACGTTCTGCACAACGGTGAGTTGCATTGCGGTGCAGAGCGGTGCAGAGAGGTGCGTGTGTGTGCGTGTTTGTGCGTGTGGGTTTGTGTGCCCTCCTGCCCAACCCCACTCCCTGACCCCCCCTCCCTGCCCCCAACCCTTTTCCCCCTCTTCCCCACCCCCCCCAACCAGATTCCAACATCTTCTCTCTCGAGCCCTTCGACGTCACAGGGCCAGCCCAGCCAGTCCCACTGAACGGCCCCAACCCAATCCCCCACCCATCACCCCACCCCCCCTCTTCCCTTTCCCCCCCTCCCTCACCAGATTCTGACATCTTCTCTCTCGAGAGCTCTTTGACGTAACCGAGCCAGCCCAGCCCATCCCGCTCCATTCTGTGCCGTAACCCCCAATCCCTTTTCCGCTCCCTTCCCCCCACTCCCCCCCAAACCTCACCAGATTCCGACATCTTCTCTCTCGCGCTATTTGACGTAACCGAACCAGCCCAGCCCGTCCCGCTCAACGCCCCAAACGACTCCTCCCAGCAACCACCCAACCACCTCTTCACCTCGCCCAATCCCGCCTTCCCGAACCTCAACTACAGCGTCGCCGAGCCTTTCCCCGAGCCTGTCGTGGGGCGGCACATCCAAGCCTACTGCTCCCACCTCGTCCCGGGCAGCACATGGGCGCTCCTCTACGCTCCCCTCCTCCTCGCGCTCCTCGTGCTCCTCGTCTCCGCCCTCCTCTCCGTCATCATCCTCGTTCTCCGCCGGAAAGGTGCGGCAATCGGCGCGGAAATGCGCGCCGCGGAGGAGTACACTCTCCTCTTAGAACGCGCCGAGCGGGCCAAAAGCGAGAGCATCGCGTGTTTAAGCCACGACCTGCGCACCCCGTTCAATGGGATGCTGGGGATGATGGACGAATTACTAGACACTCAACTCGAGGAGTGGCAGATGAGGGATGTGGTGGACGCGAGGACGTATGCGGCGTCGGTCATCGGGCTGCTGAGCACGATTCTGGACCTGGCCAAGCTGCAGGCGGATAGGCTGGAGTTAGATTCCGTCCCCTTTAGTCTTCATCAGTGCTTGGAGACGGCTGCCCGGTCGCTGTTCGCTGACGCACAAGACAGACACCTGGAATGTGAGTACATAGGGCCTGTCTGGTGAGAAATGAGGTCCTATTTTGAGAGGAGTGAGGAGTGAGTGGGAATGGGCGTGGCGTGGGGGGAGCGGCGTGAGTCATCGGGCTGCTGAGCACGATTCTGGACCTCGCCAAGCTTCAAGCGGATATGCTGGAGCTGGACTTGGTGCCTTTTAGTCTTCACCAGTGCCTGGAGACGGCTGCCCGGTCGCTGCTGTCTGACGCACAAGACAGGCACCTGGAATGTGAGTCGAGTTGAAAAGGCCTGATGAGGCGAGGGGGAGGCGTGTGGCATGCGAGTGAAGGGGCTGATGAGGCGCCTCTTTCTTCTTGAGGCGCCTCTTTCTTCTTGAGGCGCCTCTTTCTTCTTGAGGCGCCTCTTTCTTCTTGAGGCGCCTCAATATCCCCCACCTTACCTTCTGAGGAAGGTAGATAGATAGATAGATAGCCCTGTTCCTTTGCTCCTCCTTTTCGTCAATCCGTTTCTCAAACCAGTTGGGCCTGCCTGTGTCCCACCCACCCACGTGTCCTGTGTGCCATCCACGTGTCCTGTGTGCCACCCACGTGTCCTATGCGTGCCCTCCCAGTTTTCTGCCACGTGGATCCCAGTGTGCCGGACATTCTGATTGGCGACCCCACCCGAGTCACCCAAGTCATGCGCGAGCTCATGGGTACGTGAATGAGTGGGTACCTGATACTCCCTGCCACCTCTTAGCCTCCCTTCTCTCCTCTCCTCTCCTCTCCTCTGTTCTCCTCTCCTCTTCCCTCCCCTCCCTCCTCTGTCCCTTTATCACCCTCGTCTGAACAGTACCTTTCTTGCTTGCGCTCTGTCTTCTAATTGAACGAATATTGCACTACCACCTCCTTATCCCGCAATGCCCCTCAATCTCCCGTCCTACATCCCTTTCCCTTCTCACATCCCCTCTCCCTTCCCACATATCCTTCCCCATGCCCCATGCCCCATGCCCCATGCCCCCCAGGTCGCGCCATCAAGAGCACGCTATCCGGCCGTGCAGCCTTCCACATCTGATGCCTGTCCGCCCTTTTCAGGCGCCTCAAGGGTCCTCTCCTCTCCATCCACCCTCTCCATCCCCTTCCCACATGCCCTCACCATCCCCTTCCCACATGCCCTCACCATCCCCTTCCCACATGCCCTCACCATCCCCTTCCCACATGCCCCTCACCATCCCCTTCCCACATGCCCTCACCATCCCCTTCCCACATGCCCCTCACCATCCCCTTCCCACATGCCCTCACCATCCCCTTCCCACATGCCCCTCCCTTCCCATATGTCTTTCCCCCACATGCTCTCCCCTTCCCCATGCCCCCAGGTCACGCCATCAAGAGCACGCTATCCGGCCGTGCAGCCTTCCACATCTGCCTAGCCTATGCATGCCTTGCCCTTTTGAGGGGTCTCAAGGCTCCCTTCCCTTCTACCCTCAGCACGCCTCCTCCCTTGCAAACATCACCTCACGTCCCCTCCCCTCTCCCCTTCCCCATGCCCCATGCCCCCCCCCCAGGTCACGCCATCAAGAGCACACTATCCAGCCGTGCAGCCTTCCACATATGGTGCCTGCCCGCCCATTTGGGGCCCCTCAAGTGCCCCTCTACCTTCCCACATTACCCTCACATCACATGCCCTCTCCCTTGCCGTTCCCCGTACCCCCCCCAGGTCACGCCATCAAGAGCACCCTATCCGGCCATGCAGCCTTCCACATCTGGTGCCTGCCCGCCCATCCCTCCACCACCACACCCAAACCTGCTGCTCCCGCTCCCACCGCCGCTGCTACCCACGCTGCTGCTGCTTCTGAGGGGGTACAAGAGCCGGCTGTAGCAGGGGCGGATGTAGCAGGGGCGGATGTAGCAGGGGCGGCTGTAGCAGGGGCAGCTGTAGCAGCCCCACCAAGAACAGTCGCTGAGCATGGGGCCTACAGCATGAACCGCCATCTGCAGCAGCAACAGCAGCAGGTGGGACTGGAGCAGGAAAGCCGGCAGCAAAATCAACAACAACAACAGCAGCAGCAGCAGCACCAGCTGCAGCAGCAGCAGGGGGAGCAAAAGCAGCATAAAATAGAAGATGAGCAGAAGCAGGTGACAGCACTACAGGCGTGGCTGGGAACCTGGTTGGCATCGGCACAGCAGGAAGCACAAAGACCCGCCTCCCCTCCCTCCTCCTCCCCTCCCTCCTCCTCCTACCCCTCCTCATGCCCTCTCAGCTGCCGCAGCACGCACATTGGAAGGCTCGTATCCCGACGGATGAAAAGGCGGCGACAGAACGGTCGGACTGAGAACAGCAGCAGCAGCAGCGGCGGCGACGGCGGCGGCGGCGACGGCGGCTGCAGCGGTGGCGGCGGTGGCGGCAGCGGCGGTGGCGGTGGTGTCAGCTGCAGGGGGAAAGAGGTGGTATCTCTGTCGCCCGAAGCTCAGCAGGTGTGCGAGCAGTTGGAGAGGTTTGTAAGTCGGTTCCAGGAGAATGTGGTGTTCGCTACAGTGCCCTCTGGTCGAACTAGGTGGGGGAGAGAGAGCAGGCGTGTGTGGGGGAGAGGGACGGGGAGGGTGTGGGGTAACAGGAGTAGGGGTGGGGGTGGAGGTAGAGGGGGAGGTAGGGGGATGGGTGGGGGGGAAGATGGGGGGGGAGGTGCGAGAAGGCTGGCTGGAGGGAGGGATAGAGGGACAGAGGGACGGAGGGGGAAAGGAGACAGCAGGAATGATACAGGGAACTGGGAAGAAAGGGGTGCGATCAGACCGCACTGGTTTTCTGTATTAAAGCCCATGCTCGCAGCTCCTCTGGGTGTTCTCCATCGTTGGTTTTGTGATCGGAGTGGTGGTGGTGGGGTGGGTGATGGGCGTTTCTTGAATATTCGTGAGAAGGAGTGGGTTCATGGAGGTGGAGTGGAGGAGGAGAGGGGGGAGGGGGTGGGGAGGAGGGATGGAGGTGATATTGAGGAAGCTTTTATGGGGGATGAGAGGGGGGATGAGGCGTGGTGGGAGCGGGGGGGAATGGGGAGGGCTGGAGAAAGAGAGGAGACGTTGGGATGTGCCAGTGCAGGGGAGGAGGGAGATGAAGACGAGAGAGATGAACACGAGGAGGAGGAGGACGACGAAGAGGAGGATGAGGGGGATGAGGGGGATGAGGAGGATGAGGAGGATGAGGAGGAGGAAGAGGAGGAGCTAGGAGCCGAGCATCCAACCAACCCCTCTCGCAGGCCTCCTGAGTCAGCCAAGTCAAGCCAATCAACGGGGGCCACACGGGGGGGTTCGGGGGCACCAGAGGGTGGAATGGGAGGAGCGGTGGGAGGAGCACCAGGGAGAGCAACAGGGGCGATGGGCGGAGGGACGGGAGGAGGAGGGGGAGCAACGGGGGTGATGGGGGCCGAAGCCAGGGCGAGGGGGTTAAGAGCGGTAAGGGAAGCAGATGTAGTGGTGGTGATGGTGTGTGAGGACACCGGGTGTGGTATTCCTTCCCAGGAGCTTCTCTGGGTGCTAGACCCTGCAGGGCAGACCACCACTGGCAGCAGCAGCAGCAACAGCGGTGACAGCAGCAGCAGGAGAAACAGCGGTGGCGGCGGCAGCGGCGGCATTGGCAGCGGCGGCGGCAGCGGTGGTGGCAGCAGTGGGATTACTGGTGCGGGCAGTGGTCGCAGTGGGAAGAAGGGGATGCAGAGCGGTGGAGAGGTGTTACAGGGGCAGGCGGAATGGAGCCCGTATCCTGTTCGGTTCCTCCTGTCCACTGGGCTGGTTCGTCTTATGCGGGGATCCATGGGAGTAGCTTCGGAAGAGGGTGTGGGGACCACCATCCTAGTCAGCCTACCAATGAGAGCACGACACCTGGCAGGAGATGACACCTCCCCAGTGGATGAAGCCACAACTGGAGATGCCGGGCCTTGGCTCGAGGCTCGGCGGAGCGTTTTAGGTTCGGTCCGAGGTAAGCGCGCGTTGGTGGTGGATGGGATGAGGCTGAGGAGGGAGGCTGTGTGCGAGTGTTTGAGGTACCTTGGGATCTCCGTGTCTGTAGCTGCTACAGCCAGGCAGGCGGGGATTTTGTTGATGGGCAGTAGCAGCTGTAGCAGTGGCAGGAGCAGTTGGAGGGGTGGGTCGGGGAGGAGGAGAGTGAGGGTGGGGGATGGGGAAGAGGAGGAGGATGAGGAGGAGGAAGAGGAGGAGGAGGAGGAGGAGGAGGAGGAGGAGGAGGAGGAGGAGGGGTTTGAGGAGAGGGAGCTGGGTTGGCAAGAGGAAGGGCATAGTTCTAATGTGCATGCCGCTGGCAGCGAGAGTGCTGGTAACGGGGGCAATCGTAGAAGCAGCAATGGTAACAGTAAGAATGTCAATAGTAACAGCAGCAGCAGCAGCAGCAGCAGCAGCCATACTCTTGCCATTCCGAAACGAAGCAATACCGCTGCCGATCCCAAGGGAAGGAGCAACCGAGTGACCCTCGCCGTTCCCACAAGTCCCACCAAGCCCTTAGCAGCGATTGCAAGGCTGGCCGGTTTCAGTATAGACGAGGGTGAGGAAACGAGTGGTGCGACAGCTGAGAATGGGGAAAGGAAGGGAGAGGAAGCAGGGGAGGGGAGGAATGGAGAGGAGGGAGGAGAGGGAGAGGAGGGAGGGGAGGGAGAGGAAGGAGAGGAGGGAGAGGAGGGAGAGGAAGGAAAGGAGGGAGAGGAGGGAGAGCAAGGAGAGCAGAGGAGTTGGGACGTGGTGTTTATCGAAGCAGACGCGTTCGGCCCGGCAACAGGGTTTGAGTTCGGCAAGCGAGTGATTACCCACTGGCAGCACCAGCAGCACCCGGGGGGGCGAGAAACGCCGCCACCGTCCCCCACCACTCCGCACCCCTCCTCCTTCCCTTCAAGCTCGTCCAACCCATCGGTTTCCCCGCCGCCTGCTCTGCTTCCCATGCCGCTGCCGCTCCCATCGCCGCACCCACTCCCCACACCAAACCCACTCCCCACACCAAACCCACTCCCCACGCCCCACCCGCTCCCCACATCAAACTCGCTACCCACGCCGCACCCGCTGCCGCAGCTGCTTTCGAATGTGTCACACCCGCCGCTGGTGCTGACCGGGAGGAGCGCGTGTGAGGGCGTGCAGGCACGCAATGAAAGTTGTATTTTGAGACATCTCAAAAGTTTTGAGACTTCTCAAAATCTCAAAAGGGCAGCGGGATTCAGCGATGGATTCAGTGACGTGCTTGGTCGCCCCTGGATGGCCAGCGATGCCGCTCGTCTGCTGCAAGAGGTGGGTGGGTACTATTAGTCTACTAGACAAATGCCGTGTCGTGGTCTTCCTGGCCACAACGCAGTGAACCGCGTGGTGGCCAGGAAGAGCCTCCTCTCTTACTTAGCCCTCACCCCCCTTCCTTTTCCCCTTTTGAGGGAGGACATGCTAGGAGGGAGGGAGGTGTTGGTGGTGGACCACAACGCAGTGAACGGCGTGGTGGCCAGGAAGAGCCTCCCTCCTTACTTACCCCTCACCCCCCTTCCTTTCCCCCCTTCTCCTGTCAGATTCTCGCCCCGCCTATAGCCCCCTCAGCTCCCAGCGCTCAGGCAGAGAGCTCAGAGCAAGAGGAGGTTGCTTGCAGGTTGTTTTTGAGAATTCTCAAAAACTCCCAGCGCCCAGGCAGAGAGCTCAGAGCAAGAGGACCTCCCACAGCAGCTCTATTCTCGCCTAGCACTCGAGGATGCATCAGCGGAAGGGGCATGCTGGGCGGGAGGGAGGTGCTGGTGGTGGATGACAACGCTGTGAACCGCGTGGTGGCCAGGAAGAGCCTTCCCCCCTAGCCCCCCTCCTCCATCCCCCCTGTCCTCCCTTCCCCCTTCCCTTCTCCTGTCAGATTTTCGCCCCCTGCTCCACCCGGCTCTGGCCCTTCAGCTCCCACCACCGCAGCAGAGAGCTCAGAGCAAGAAGACCTCCCACAACAGCTCTTCTCCCGGCTGGCTCTAGAGGACGCATCGGCCGTACTGAGATCCATGCTGGGCGGGAGGGAGGTGCTGGTGGTGGATGACAACGCCGTGTGGTGGCCAGGAAGAGCCTTGTGGGGAAGAAACAACCTTGCCCATTCCCCCCTCCCCCCTTTTCCACCTTTCCCCCGTGCACCTCAGATGTTCGCCCCTTCTCTAGACGGGTCTGCCTCCTCGGCGTCCAACGCCCAGGCAGAGCATGCAGACCAAGGGGAGGACCTCCCCCAGCAGCTTTTTTCCCGGCTGGTTTTAGAGGATGCATCGGCCGTCTTAAGGGAGATGCTGGGCGGGAGGGAGGTGTTGGTGGTGGATGACAACGCCGTGAACCGCGTGGTGGCCCGGAAGAGCCTGGTAGGGCTGGGGGCGCGCGTGGAGGTGGCTGCCTCTGGCGAGCTCGCGCTGCAGCGCCTGCTGCACCCCCACTCGTTCGTGCTCGCACTTGTGGATATCAACATGCCTCCGGGCATCGACGGGTGAGTCTCCAGTCTTGGACCCTTAGGACCTGTGGTGCTTCTGCTGCTTCTTCTACTGCTTCTGGTGCTTCTGCTGCCTCTCCTGCTGCTTTTGGTGGGGCTGGAGGCGCGCGTGGAGGTGGCTGCCAAGCGTCTCAACTGGTTTGTGACGAGATCGTGCTCACAAGGGCATGGAAAGCACTAGTGTGTGTGTGTGCATACTCATCCATGTGTCCTTCCATTTCTCTCTTGTTCTTTCCCACCTGCAGCTTCGAGACATGTCGTCACATCAGGGCGCGAGAAGCTCTGCCGAACCCTCCCCTCCCTTCAGCCGCTGCTGCTGGTGCTTCCACATCTGCATCTGCTGCTGCTGCTGCTGCTTCCACTGCTCCTCCTCCTGACGCCGTCCCCCCGCGGCTGTGTGTGGTGGCTCTGACAGCAGACCTGGATGCGAGAATCCGCAAGGCGTGTGAGCAGGCGGGCATGGACGGAGCGATTTCCAAGCCCATTGTGGCCCAGGATTTGCTATCCGTCCTCAGATCTGCGGGGTTCGCTGCTCCCACTGCTGCTGGTGCCACTTGATTCGGGTCGAGCACTTGCTTGGAACCTTCTGCTGCTGCAGCAGCTTGAAGCAGCAGCAGCAGCATGGCAGCAGTACTGGCGCAAGGTGGAACCTCAGAAACGACTTTTGAGTCGACTCAAAAGTCAGCAGTACCGGCGCGAGGTGGAAGCTCCGAAACCCCATCTGCCTTTTTCATTTTCTAGGCGCCTTCGTTTATCTCGTCACCGCATCCTGCTGGTTTGTAAATTGTCAGAGGAGCCGGTTCAAGAATCGCTCACCTGGTGGGCTGTAGCAGTCATGGGTTTACGGACAAAAATATCGTGTTTATTTACCAGTAACTGCCTCAAGAATAGCCGCGGTGTCATCACGGTCATGACTCATGACTCTGGAATGGCATGGTCCCTCCCGGCATAACCAGAATAACAGCAGCGCCAAGCCTATTCCATGGAATCTTCAAATGTGCTCCTCTTGTTCCTCCTCCTCACTTAGGGGTGCAGCTGGGTTTCTTAGAAATTATTACACTCTGGTTTTAAATCTTGGGTACATGTATCACCCGGTGGTTCTGTCTTTTAGACTGCAATTTGCGCACCAACTGCCTACTGCTGATGCCGGCGCAATACCTCTACCATGAGTTGAAATGTGTTGCTTAGTCTCATAAATCAGAATCAAATTAATTAGTTTGATTCGTCTAGTTTTCAGTTAACATTTATGAACGTCGGACTTGTAACTATTATGTCGATTTATTAGGTACGGAACTTGTGCTGAGGCGCCTCGCAGTCATTGGATTTGTTGTGCAGAGTCCAGTTACTGCTATGGCCTGAATAGAGTGATTTATATCCCTGAGTACGGGGTTTATCACCACAAGTGAGTAGTCTCGACTCCATATCTCTGATCGTTGTATGAGCACAGAAACGTATTCACACGCCCATTACTGAAGGTCTAACTCTTGCTGCAATGCCCCAAAGAGGAACCCTAAATCACTCTCCGAACCTAACTCCCCATTGCAAATCCCTTCCTCTGCATTATCTGTCAGCCCTTGGTGTGACTTATGAGAATTCTAAAAAATCTCCCCATCGCAAATCCCTTCCTCCGCATTCTCCACCAGCCCTTGGGCATTGTCACTCAAATCACCTATCCTCCATCCACTCTCCCCTCCCCTCCCTCCTCCCATCTCTCCATCCCCAGGCGTCTCAAGAATCGCCTGCCTCAAATGCTGCATGCAACTGGAATTTCCAGTAGCTTCCTCCTCAGTGCCTAAAGAGGCTGCTGCAGCAGGGACTTGGTTGATAAGTGCAGCAAGAGTGGCATCTGACAGGGTAGCTCCCTCCGTATCTGCTGGCCCTCCTGCGGTAAAAGTGGGTGGATGGCCCTGGCTGCACTGAAACTCTTCTGCCTGCTCTGTGCTCTGTGTGTTGAAACCAAATCCCTGCTTCTGTGACCAGGAGGTGGGACAAGACACAGCTGCCTTGTTGTAGTGCAACATAGGGAGTGCACATGGCTTTGCTGCTGACCACCCGTTGGCCTGTCTGCTGGCAGAAGGAGCATTGACTGCTTGGACAGATGGGACTGACTGTAGAGGAGCCTCAATGAGAAGGTATCCTGCTGGCCATGTGTTGGCATGCTGCCTCAAAGAAGGAGCAGTGATAACCGGGGCATGTGCAGAAGAAACAGCAGCAGCAGCAGCAGCAGCAGCAGCAGCAGCAGCAGCAGCAGCAGCAGCAGAACCAGGAGTAGTGATAGGCCGTGTCACGCCAGCAGCAGGAGGAGTGAGGGACGTTACGCCAGAGGCAGCAGCAGAGGTGTTTAGGCAGCTGAGAGTGTGGTTCAATGTGCTTTGAGGATTCCCAAAACAGGCACCGAAACCGTTCGTGGATGCACAGCGTGTGGATGGAACAAGGGGGAGAGAGGGGAGAGAGTGGAACAAGGGGAGAGAGGGACAACAGGGAAGAGAGGGGAAAGTGGGGGTAGACTGGGAAGGGGGGAGAGAGGGGGACGAATTGAGAGAGGTGATAGAGGAAGGGACGGGAGAAGAGTGGGGAGAGGAACGAGATGCAGGGATGGGGGTGAAAGAACTAGAGGAGATAGAGCTGAGGAGAGACAAGGTCTGGTGATCAGGGATTGGTGAGGGTGCATGCATGGGTGTACGAACAGGTGGCAGATCCGAGGGCATGTGAATCCTGTTAAGGTGAAGCCCTGCACGCACCTGGTTTCGCGTGTAGCAGCCCTATGCGATGTAGCGAGGTTTCGCATACCGCATACCGGAGCTTCGGTATTCGCCGTGTACACTCCAATAGTGCGATTCGGTATGCACTGTTCAACACTGAACCGAATTGGAGGGAAGTGACGACATTGCACAAACGAGTATGTGCAACTGTCTGTTGCCAACACCTGCGCAACTACTCCTGGACAGGTAGAAAATACACCTGACGGTACTTTCACCTGATGGCGTTTTCACCTGGCGGTGCCAACCTGGAACCGCAAACTAGAAAGCATCGTTCTCCTTGAACAACGTTCTTCATGAACAGCGTTCTCGTAGAAAGTTCCTGCACTCGTCACTATGTTTCTCTATAAGATTCATGTTGTTTCTGTTGTAATCTATCAATATAATCAATTAATCAATTTCGTTCTTCCTGTTACTGCATACCAAGTTTGGCACCAGTATTCGGTTTCCAACAAGTCCGCATTCGGTTTACAAGCATCCGCTTTGCAACTCTGCGCCTAGGCTCTCCCATAATCGCCTATTCTCCGCAAATGCTTGCATGTGTGGTAAGGAAATCCAAGAGCGTATCAATGGAAATGGGTGCATGGGTGGCAAGGTTAGAGAATGCTTCTGCTTCTTCCTGTGCTCTCTTCAGAAATGTGTGGACAGAAGCATCAATGGTGTCAGCACCCGCTTTGGCAGCAGCAGTCCCAGCAGCAGCAGCAGAACCAGCAGCAGGAGAAGCAGGTGTAGCATCAACATCTGCATCAGCAGCAGCCCTGCTATGTGTTCGAGGCAGTTCAAAAACATATCCCTGGGCACCCAACAACGCATGGACAGCAGCAACAGCAGCGCTTCTCTGTTGCTGCTGCTGCTGCTGCTGCTGCTGCTGCTGCTGCTGCTGCTGCTGCTGCTGCTGCTGCTGCTGCTGCTGATTTGCAGATGCCAGAGGCAGCAGGTGTTCCATTCCAAACCAAGGGGCATTCACCAATCCTTGTGGGTAGCTCGGAAGCCCTTTCAGGAGCAAATCTTGGATTGCTGCTAGCAGAAATTCTCTTGGCATCAACCCCATCCAAACCTCCTGTGCCAGATTGGACAGGGAACCCAGGTTTGGCCGAGGCAGCTCAGGAGATGAACCCGAGTTTTGCCGAGGCAACTCAAAAGGTGATGCTAGGTTCGGCTGAAATGACGCGTCAGAGCCTTGGCAAGGGCTGATGAAGGAAAGCTCGGCAGGAGCGAGGACTTCGCGTGATGTATAAGTGGGTCCTACAGTCAAGTGATCTTCTGTTTGCTGCTGTGGCGACCTATGGTGAATCTCAGAGAAAGAATGTTTCGTTGGCAGAGTGGACTTCTGACAGGATGTTGCTGCTGCCATTGCTGCTGCTGTTGCTGCTGCTGCCGTTACTGCTGCTGTTGCTGCTGCTGCTGTTGCTGCTGTTGTTTCTGGGGGTGGTGGGCAGGAAAGCGGGTGATTGGGATTACCCATGAGGGTTCTTTGAGGCTCCTTAGTAGCTGCTTCCATGCGAGCCATCAGCTTCAGGGATGGAATATCAGCTGGAGTCCTTGGTAGCAGATTTTCCAGCTCAGGCTGAAAGGCGTGCCGATGGTATCGCTCTGTTGAAAGATCGCCCATGAGGGCAATTTTAGGCTCCTCAGCAGCTGATTTCATGCGAGCTGCCAGCTTAAGGGATAGAATCTCAGGTGATGTCCTCTGTAGCATTTTGTCCAGCTCGGATTGAAAGGCGTGGCGATGGTATCGTTCAGTTGAGGAAGGGGAATGGTTGTGGTGACCCATCAGCACCACTCGGATCACCTTCCTCTGCTTCTCACTGCCTCAAGTAGCAGTCAAACCAGCACCGCCACCTTTCGACACTGCAAAACCGCTGCCGTTCCCATCACTACCACTATCACCATCATTTCCAGCAGCAGCAGCAGCAGCAGCAGCAGGAGAATAACCGCCACCACCACTGCCACTGGCACCGACATTGCTGCCACCATCAGCAGTGGTTTTATCCAAGGCAAGTCTGTCCTCCACTTTACGTGCCTTGCATCCTGTTACTGTCTTGCACGCACACCAGTAGTACACCCTCTTGACCGGCTTCCCAGCCAGCCACTTGTGGGACCCTTTCTTCCACCGATGCCACATGTGATCCTCCTTGCCTCCTCCCTCTTGGTTACGGTCACCAGCCTCCTCAGCCGCTGCAGCTTCAGCAGCAGCAGCTTTAACAGCAGCAGTCGCAACAGCAACAGTAGCAGCAGTAGAAGGGTCGCCAGCAGAACCAGCATCCCAGCTTCTTGAACGTGGTTGCTGCTGCTGCTGCTGCTGCTGCTGCTGCTGCTGCTGCTGCTGCTGCTTCTGCCACCACTGATCGCTCTCTTCACAAGGTTCCACTTCCGCTGCCGCTGCCACCACCGTTCTCCTCTGCTTCTTGCTTGCTGGAAGGCTGCCGCCTCCGCCGTCCCCACCCGTGCTGCAGAAACGGTAATCTTGCTGCCACTGCCACTGCTGGTTGCTCTCTCCAGAAGTTTCCACTGCCGCCACCATTGCTGCTCTCCTCCGCATCTTGCTTGCTGGAAGGCTGCCGCCTCTGCCGTCCCCACCCGTGCTGCAGCAACGGTGATCTCGCAGCAACGTTTCAGAACTGGCAAGCAGTTGAGGCGCCTCTGAGCGCTTCCTCCCCAGAGGAACAGCAGGGGCCAAAGTTCTGCTGCCTCTGTTACTACTAACAGTAGTTGTTGTAGGGCGTACTATCCAGTGAGTCACTTTCGGGTGGAGGCTGCTGACAGTACTTCTTGCTGTGGGCATCAGGATTGGATCAGTAAGCAGACTGGAAATGGAGGTGTGATCCCCATTGGCACTATCAGCTATAGCCATCTCAACTTGTACCCTCAACCGTACTTTTGACTGTACTTTCAACTGTACTTTCGACCCTACTTTCAACTGTTCGCTTAACCTTTCCCTGGGCCGTATTCTCAACCGTTCTCTCAACCGTACTCTCAACCGTACTCTCAACCGTACTCTCAACCGTACTCTCAACCGTACTCTCAACCGTACTCTCAACCGTACCCTAAACCGTACGCCTACTTCTGGTTCAAAACCTTTACCGGTTCAAATCGGCTTCTGAGACGCATCAACACAGAGTGGTGCAGCAGCTAGTAGCTGCTTATCAGTGCCCTTATTATGACCTGATACTAGCAGTAGTAATGATCAGATGTCTTCAAGTTGAGTGTGCAGCATCAGTGGTCGGCCAGACTGGTGCAAGCCGGGGCTCTTTCCACTTCAAGTTGGCTTCTGAGGCACCTCAGAGATTCAGAGCGGTGCAGCCGCTGCAGTCAGCACCATTTAGCTGTGGCAGCTCCCTATCAGTGCCCTGGTTGTCACCTGCTATTACTGATGATGATCAGATGCCTTCAAGTTGAGCGTGGGGCGCGCCGTGGTCGGAAAGATTGCAGCAAGCCGGGCCTCTTCCGGTTCCGGTCGGCTTCTGAGGAGCCTCGAAAGTTCAGAGCGGTGCAGAACTTATCTATGCCCTGGCTATCACCTGGGGCGCGCCGTGGTCGGGAAGATTGCGGCAAGCCGGGCCTCTTTCTGGTTCCTTGTCTCTGCCTGTCTCTTGTCTCTGCTTGTCTGTGCAGAACGACGAGGTTCCTTGTCAGAAATCGCTGAAGCAGCAGCAGCAGCTTTTGACAAGGATCAGGAGAGTTTTGAGGCGGCTCAAAACTACTCTTCCGGTTCAAGTCGGCGTCTCTGCAGAACGGCGGGAGCCTCCTTCTCAAAACTCGCAGACAGAAGCAACCGCACCCAAGGATCAGAAGCCCAGCTGTCTGGTAGTGATCACAAAGCGCAGCAGGGTGGGAGCACCGCTAGTACTACGAGTAGTTTGAAAGCCCCCAGAACGGAAGGCACATTTTTTTCTGCACAACCATGGGAAACGTCGCGTCTTGTTTGAAAGCTGATCCGAATGCACCACTGGCAGTGGACTGGCAGATGCAGCGGCGTAGTAATAGTGGAAATAATAGAATCGCTAGTTGTTGTTGAGCTTTCATGACTGGAATGCACTCAACTTCAAATTTCAAGTCCTCCTTCCTAGTAGGAAGGGTTGCATGATGGGGAATGACTCGCATGATCAGTGGGATGATGGAAGGACGCTGCTAGTGACTGGCAGTGGCACTGACAGCGTGCGTCAAACCGACCACATGACCACATGCACCGAAGTTTTTGCACCGAATTTCTCACCGAATTTCTGTGAGCTCTCAGAGGGCGGCAAGTCTGGGGCACGATGCGAAGTGGCGCCACATGATGTGGTGCATTTTTTCCCTTCTCATTGTTTGCTCCTTCAAAGTGGTAAACACCACTGGTGTTCTTTGTCAGGCGCTAGAGTCGTTGCAGTTGCACCCTGTTGCTCGACTAGAGAATAGTAAACGTGCCGCCTATATTGTTGAACGGCACACCAAAATTGTTTGCAGCGACGTGCCGCGGGACACCCAGCGTTGACCAGGCTTCAAGCCACCCAACTAAAAGTTTTAGTCATTAACGGAAAGAAATACTGTAAGAAAGAAAAAAACACTCCTCGGTGGCACATCTAACGACAGTAGACACTCGGCCCGTGCCCGCGGCTTTTGAGAATTCTCCGATCGTGCCCGGAGTAGACGGTGAATTTTGGGGAGCCTAAAAAAGCACGCACACACACACACACACACACACACACACACACACACACACACACACACACACACACACACACACACACACACACAGTGGGATGCCGCTTTTGGAGATTGTCAGATCCTACCTGAATTAGAGCGTCAACATCTCGACAAACGTGGAGGGATGATGTCGACAAATGTCAACCCTCGACTCGAGATCGGACGGTTGAAATCATGTCTCGACCCTCGAGTTTGTCGAGAGACGTCGACGTCGGGGGGCACACTTTCAAAGGAGCACAGACGGGACAACTGCGAATGACAACGCCTGTTATTCCAGCAAGCGGCAGAGCTTGCGTGTTTGTGCAGGGGTTCAGTTCTACAATAGTAATCACGACTCGTGAGAGCTCGCTCGAGTGTGGCCAATGCAAAGTCGGACTTTGCAGTGCACAGGTCGCAACAGGTCACAGGTCGAAGTTCGCATCCGCAGCATCTTTACTACCGGGATTTGAGGCGCGCATCCCAGCCTTCGGCATGCGGAATTTGAGCTGATCAGCTCGCATCGTTCTCCAGCTGGCAGCTCAGTCGGAAGATTTTAAAACTGAGCTCGCTCGAGTGTGGCCAAATAGAACCGCATTCGTCGCTGCTCTCGTTGCGTTGACAATTGCTCCCCGCCCTTATTAAGGGAGTTTGTCCACGCTTCATGAAAAGCGGTCGCGATTGTGTGTCATTGGTTCTATCACATACCTTCCGAAAGGTTGGCGAATGTTCTAGGGGATTCTAAGCAGTTCGCTGGGGTTATTATGGAAGCCATGGTTTTGTCGGAACGGGGACTCGGCACTGTGCAACCCAAAGAACGCACCACCGGATGCACTGCTACCAGAAGTACTTGAGATTGGTTTTGCTGGTCGGAATCTACTACACACTGGACAGGTCTGCCATGGGGATAAAAAGACAACATCACCGCAAAAGACTGGTAGTTGACAAATGGGTTGAGTTGAGGGAGGATGGAGTTGAACCATCATCGGTTTGGTTTCGAAAATGGGCTGGTTGGGGTGGAGCTAGTTTGGGTTCGGTTCATCTGGTTTAGAGTGGAACGATGAAATGTCAACTGGCTGTGAAAAACGGGGAGGGCGGGGATGAGCTGGAGGAGGAAGCTTTGGTTCGGCTTGCTTTGGTGAAATCGATGGAACCAGAACAGACATTTGAAAATATTGGCGTAGCGCAATTCAGAAGTGCGCTTCGGGTATTCAACGCCCACGAACGACAAATCTGCCGCACATATCACCAACGCTGCTCCGTAAGTTGCGACGTGAGTTGACA